GCGCCCTTCAGCTAAAGGAGCGCTCTCGAACGCCGCCCTCCACGTGTCGGTAGCCCCCCGGGATCGCTTGATCGGTCGGCGCCGGACCGCAAATTTAACCACCCGTAACTCCCGAACCCCGGGGGCTATTGACGTACACAACACGCGTTCGAGAGGGTTCCTCGAGCTGAAGGGATCCCCCGAATTTGGTGCGGATTCGCCGCATCGTTACGGAGATATGGCCGTTCAAAGTTTCAATGGTTTTCCATAGACTTAAGCTTCAAAAGCGTTTCATCCAGGTCACCAGTAGCAAACAATGGAGCGCTCTGCTAGACAAACTAAGTAATTACACAATTTCAAGCATTTTATCTGCGTTATATGTTCTGTAAAAAAAAATTATATCGCCAGCATATTCGCCGATACCGATATATCGGCAACAGGCTCATATCGGCAAAACGATATATCGGTCGGGCTCTAGTAAAAACACTGACAATGTTTACCCATGTTTTACCCCATTGTCTGTCTCTGTGTATTTTGGCAATGTTTGAATTTTGGCTTGAACTTCTGTAATGGAATCTGATTTTTTTCCACACCAGCTAAACTAAATTGACTGAATTCAATGATTTATCCTCCTGGACCTTCCACAGAAGATGGAATATATATCAAATTACAAATTATATACAATTTAATATTAATTATTGATTGCTATCAGGATGTGAAAAGACTTTCAACCAGTATAACAAAAAATGCTTCTGGAAAACAAAAATTAGGGTAGCTACCCTAGCTTTAAAGAGGGACACAGTAGGATGGCTAGGTTGTTACGGAGACATTCAGCCAAAGTTCAGAAATCTGATGAAGTCGTTTCACTGTAAATGTCAGACCTCTGTTTTATTAGGCTGATTATTAGGATGACATGGTTTATAATGAACCAAGTAAATCACATGAGTGTGTCCGAGTTACTCACAGTGGCATGAGAGATGGTGAGAATTCCTCCTTTAACTGAACACTTCCTCCTCTGCCACACCTTCCTCAACCTATAACACAACAATTTTATACTGCATAACACCACTCATAGCAGAGATCAAGAACTCAGATTGATTAGAAATCCCATCTAATTGGGGTGTGTGTGTGTGTGTGTGTGTGTGTACCCATCACTCTTCTTCAGCAGATAGCCTTTCTTCTCACTGCCAAACTCTTTGTTTCCCTGCAACTGGTGCATACTGTAGCCACCCTGTTTGCTCTGAGAGTCCTGCTCAAATACACATACATATGGTGCTTTAAATAGCTATATGCAGTCACCAATCCAAACAAATACTGTATACACAGCATTTTCATAAAATACATGAAGATTTTTCAATATTTCTCAACAGATTTGTAACCTTTTAAAAATCAGCTTTATCTGACAGCCACTTATTTATTGTGCACACACACAATGATCTCCATCACATACACACGTCATGCTGTATATGCTAAACACTTACTCTTCTAGACTTCAATCCACACAGGAAGCGGGTGAAAGACACATAAGAGAGGGTGTGAAAAGCATTGCAAATGTAGGCTGTATGTGTTGGTTTTGTTAAAACATTTAAGTGCACTACAGCATACTACACTATGATTTGTACTAACTTACATACTTGTCTCCCACCATGTTACCGTATTTAAATGCAAGTTTGCTGATGACAATGTGTTAGCACTTGGCACATAAAACAAACATTCATTGACTAACTACTTATTAATTGTCATTTATTTTCCTTATTAAACATGACAGAGTCAGCATATTTTCTCTGAGCAACCAGTGGGGCACAACACTGGTTACCAGCAAGCCCGATTTCATACTGGCTACCAGCATGGTACAGCACTGGGCACTCCCTCTCACACTCTCCCCTGTACAGGTCGAGCATTAGGGAGGTTTTATGCATTAGATCCACAGATGTACAGCAAAATTAAACTTATCAGGTTTCTTTCTGTATGATGTCATGCCACTGAAGAATTAACTAAAATTCTACATATGTACAGAATTTTAAATACTGAATATATTTACATTTACATGCGGTAAATATGTAAATGTAACGAACTTTGGAATAATTTAATCCCAAACAAGTCACTTGATTGGCTTTTACAAACTAGTTTTGGGCAATTAAGAATTTGCATTGGTCCGAAGACTGAGCCCTGAGGCACACCACATTCTACACCTACCTCCTTTTGTTCCAGCTGTAGAGAGGATTTAATAAGATCCCGTAGTGCTGTGAGTTGCTTTTTCTCTTCATCTTGTGTTTGTTTTATCTACATCACACAAAATATATACACACGCAAAAATAACTTGTTACACAGGTGTACACACACAGTATTAGAGGTGCAGGACATAAACTCGTCATTGTAATGTACTGCAAAATTTAACTTTGCAATACGGTTTTGATATTCTCATGCTAAGAATGAATATTTGTGGTTGCATTTTTTACTTTCATATTTTGAGACTGGACCACATGAATGATTGTCCAAGTCCAAGTCCAGCCAGGTAAAACATGCATTAGTCAATGCATAATTATTTTAGTTGACTAAAGATCTTAGGAAATAATATAACGGAGCACAACACAGAAGTGTAAAGCAGCTCTAAAATAAACAAGGAAGTAAAAGATTGCAATAACAGTTTTAAATGAATACACACTAAACAAAATATTATAATGTGACCCAGATGTTGATCAAATATTTTATTGCGAAGTCCAATCCATAAAGTAAACTAAAATGGTTTTACCAAATCAAATACATTTATGTTAAAGAATGAGGTACATACGTTGTAAAGATCAGCAGCTAATTTCTCAATGTACTGCTTTAGCTTATCTGCCGTCTTCAAGCCATCTTGGAAAAAGCTGAAAAAAAGCAAAACACTGAATCAACACATTTTTCATACTGCAACCAGCTATCAACAAAAATTATGGATTTACAATCTATACAACACAGAAACCTACAAACAGGAGAGACTGAGTTAATGATAAGTTAAAATATCATAAGCTCATAAGCTTACCAATGTATTGAAGTAGAGCTTTATAGTCAGCAAAAGTACCTTTGAAGCATTTAAAGCTTTGAACTAACATGCAACACATTCAGTTTTGTGGGTACCTGTGGTGGAAATATCCAGTTTTAAATGTGATCCTGGACCACAAAACCAAAAGAAAACCACCTTTAAAGTTGTCCAAATGAAGTCCTTAGCAATGCATATTACTAATCAAAAATTAGCTTTTGATATAGTTACAGTAGGAAATGTACAAAATATCTTAATGGAACATGATCTTTACTTAATATCAAATTATTTAAGAAAAATCGATCATTATGACCCATACAATGTATTTTTGGCTATTGCTACAAATATACCCAAAGTCTTATACTTTGGAACAAGACAGTCACCACTAATAGTGGCTCGTGTGTTTGTCCTATGAGAGTTCTGACGCCTACTGACCAATTCAAAAAACATTGGTGAAACATGATTCTTTAGACATTTAAAAACCAATTTGAGATAATTAATATCAACGAAACTATCGAAGCTAAGAAGGTTATGCTTTCTTAAAACATCACAATGATGCCATCTCATGGGTTTCTGGTCCATAACTTTTATTGCCTGTTTGTATATTGAAATAATAGGTTTTAATTTATTTGGAGAGACTTGTGACCATGATGTGACACAATATGATAAATGTGAAAATATCATTGCATGCATGTATAATTTTGTAGTTTGACCTGACAAGTCCCTTCTAATAACACGAAATTAAGCAGGCTTATTTATCTAGTATATTGAAATGTCACTTACTTGCACTGTGCGTGGTAATACTTGATCAAGTTCTGAAGGAGGTCTACCCCTTTTTTGGTCTTTATTTCATTCACTTTGATTAGGTACTGTAGAAATAGACAGACTTTGGTCACAACAGAGTTTAGTAATCTCAACAGTAGAACAAATGAAATTAAGTGATTGTAAAATATTCAGTGCTGTGAAATATTTGAAATAGTTATTCGAAATAGTCATTCTAGGGAAAATAGCAGGTCCCCTCCGTAGCACATATTTAAATGTAACCTAAATGTTTGAATAAAAAATGTACTGTTGTTATATTAGAAGCAACTAAAGAGGACAAAAATGTCATCTTCTAAATCTGAAATCTGTAAAGAACATGCAGTGACAAACCAAGCCCACAAAACAAATGAATTAAACATCATCGTAATCCCGGTTTAGCCCAGAGGGGTAAATTCCAGAACATCTTGCAAAGTCACGCCAGCTAACAATTTTTGGCTATGCTCAGAAATGTAATCTGTCTTTTTGGTCCCAGGCATGTCTGAATATATCTTGGGGTGAAATGGCACATATTCCGCTCATTTTAGGGTGTGAATGCATTTGTGCATAACCTTTGAACCTTAGTTTTGTCATAAAACAGTATGTATATAGATTCCTAATTAAGTTACAGTGCGTGCACATCTTTGTTTTCATATAATGCATGTAGTAGGTATGTTGTATGTGTTCGCTAGAATTTGTCATTTCCTTCGCTGCTTTCTGTATCTGAATGAGTCACCTTCCTGCATAATGGAATATTCATTGCTCTCATCTTTAGCTTTTACTTAAAATCACATGCCTTGTTGAGAACTCACATGTGTACTCCCATGTGTAACCACTAAGAAATATCCAATTACATAAGATTGGTAAAATGTCTAGACAATCATGAATTATGTCATAGACTTTCAGCAATATACCAATGCCTTCTCTACATTAATGCTTAATTAAGTGGAGAATTTGTGAATTCAATTAAATATTAGATTTTGTCATGTCATTTGGTCCAATACCATTTGAAAGGCAACCTGAGGTTCCTTTTTCCCCAAGACACATAACATTACACCTACCCCTCACAAACCCTTGATGCAGAATGAAATAAATTCAAGACGCAATTCCTATTGACAAATACAATTCATTAACATGTTAAAAAAAATCACCCTATCCAATCACCACAGCTATCCACCCTAATGAACCAAGTCAACACTGATGATTATGAATCCATGAAACAAACATTTCTATCATAATCTAAGCCATCTGCTCTAATGCTAAGGGAATCTTTCAAGATGCAAGATAAAAAGGCAATTGGCACTGAGATGGCAGCGTTACATTATTCTGATTTATATTAGGAGTACCAAACCCAACAAAAGCAGAGAGTAGAGGGTTTAGAGGGTTCTGACTGGCTGCATCTGCTGATTTATGAATGTTAATGTCATCTGCAAAACTTGTTGATAAGGTCACAAGTAAACTCATTCTGGTGAATGAATATCAAATTCATTGATCAAGCTCACTGATCATTGCAAAAAATTACTGTAAGTGACGTGACCTATACCTGGAATTAGTGCTCTGCATTTAACCCATCCAAAGAGCACACACACAGCAATGAACACACACACACACCGTGAACACACACCCGGAGCAGTGGGCAGCCATTTATGCTGCGGCGCCCGGGGAGCAGTTGGGGTGCTCAAGGGCACCTCAGTCGGTGTATTGAAGGTGGGAGAGAGCGCTGTACATTCAATCCCCCCACCTATAATCCCTGCCGGTACGAGACTCGAACCTGCAACCTTTGGGTTACGAGTTGGGTTACGAGTCCGACTCTCTAACCATTAGGCCACAACATCCCCGTAATGATAATGTACAGATCTCTCTGCTGCCCATACAACAAAGTATTTTGGGTAGTGGGAGCACTAGTAGAAAAAAAAACACTGTACAAAATAATAAAATTTACAGATTAACTATCTATTAGCACTCAAAATTACCTGTTTATATAGATACAAATTAATATTATGTTAAAAAAAGTTGTAAAAATAGTAAAAAAATGTTTATTCCAAATCATTTAATTAATTAATTCATTAATATAGACAAACAAGACTAATAATAAAGGAAATAAAAACAATATCAACTATGGCATATTTCTGGTGAGGAAGACCAAGTGCACTACAGACCTCACACATCTGTAGTTGGAAAAGCCTCCGTTCTTTCTCCATCTCTTCAGCGATCTCAGCACCAGTGATCTCTGTTCGGATCATGCCATGCTGCTTGGCATGCTCACGTTTTTCCTTCTCGATCTTTGTACTGTAAGATTGCAAGAAATTATATCATAAAAACCAATAAAAATATTTGTATATTTAGAACAAACTCATCTCAGCTGAAAATAAAAAGTGCTGTGTTTATTTCATATTATTCTCACATCTGCGGGGGAGAAAATGATCTTGCTCATGGTTTTTGATGGTGCTTTTAGATTACTGTAAAATGCATCTGATAATTGCAGCAGCCCACAGACGGAAAGTAATCGTATGAATGGACAAATGTGTATACAGACACACTTAGCTAACACGCATAAAGCAAACGTACAACTTGGTTTCGTAGTCCTTCCAGGCCTTGTCAAAGGGTTTTTTCAGGTCCTGGAAAAAAAAAAAGAAGGAAAAAATAGTAATGAGCCAGGTGCAGTAATTAGACTCCCTCATGTTTACAACAAAGCAGATGTCACACCCAAAATCCAATGACAAAGACAGAGCTGAGTTAACCATGTTCATCAGTGTGGAGGGATGATATCTTTCCAGCAGTAAAGTAAACAGCAGATTAGGACTGTGACATCCTCATCATTATTGTGATGAATATCTGGAGCACCAATCATAGATATGACCATTACAGTTACTTGTGGTAAATGACAGATCCATTAGTAGGCTCTAATTGACTTCTGGTGTGGTAGTCAGACTGCTGATCTTCTGAGAAGCAGATAGCCGCACTTGACCACACTCCGTTTCAGTGCATTACATTAAATCCGCAGCGGGCTAGTTTAGTTTGTGACATCATGAAGCCATTTACTTGAACAGAGCTTTACACACAAAGGTACTTCCAAGTACTTCAACAGGTCTACAACATCTTTAATTTTTTTATTTATGTTCCTGGCTTAGTATGAAAGCACAATTGTAGACAAGAAAAGTTTGCATGTGTATTTAGTCTCTGCATGTTTGATGGTCTATGAGATAAGGTCTGTAAATATTTCTCACCCCCTTCACGCCTTTCAGGTCGCCTTTCAACAGGGAGTCCAGTGTGAAGATCACATTATGACTCAGATTCTGTAGCTGCAGGAAAAGATGGTGAAACAGAGCAGAGACTGTGTTAATATGATACATAACATGACACTTGGCACAGCATAAGCACAGCACAGAAGAAATAAGAGAAAACTTATCAAATACAGCCATCCGCAAACAGAGCCCATTGAGAGAGACACAATCTTGATACTCTGGGACAGATCTTTTAAATTAATCAACATAAATGTTTCATACACAAGAGGCCAGATAGTTTGGACTCAAGTAACAAGATGAGACCCACTGTGACACTGCATTGTCTCCTAAGACCTTAAGAGAAATTTACATCACCTGGAAAAAAAGTGCAACAAGAATAACAGATTTAGGACAAAGTCTGGCATTATATACCTTTAGATTACATTAAAATGATTTACACTGTATACTCTATACATGTATATTTGCCAAGAATACAGGGGTGCACAGATATTGAAATTCTGGATAATTATTTTCATGTTCATGGCCAATAACCAACAATAAAAGACTGATATTATAAATATAAAACATTTAGTTAAAATAAGACAATTTAAAACATATTGAGAAAAAAAGAGATATATTGTGTACCCCTAAGAAAATTGGCTGATATTGATATCCAATAATTTGTTTTAACTGATAACTTTTATAATAATCAGTATTCAGCAGTAAAGAATATATAAAAAGCTAAACCTAAAGTATAGGCCTACAGAGAATAAAAGATGGAAAACTTTTGAAGCATAGCATTTTGTCTAAATTATGTCAAATCATATTTCCAATACTACTACTACTATTAATAATAATAAGAAGAAGAATATGGCAACTGCTCCAGCATAGCATTCATCCATGAAAAATGTGTAAACATTTCATTAACTGATATATGATCAGTTTGGATGATGCTTACTATTTTAAATTAAATAAAACATAAAAAAAACTAAATCTGGCACAGTGTAAATCAAATAGATGAAACTGCCTATTTTAAATAGCACTGAAACAATAAATGAAAAAATAAAATAAAATAAAAATACACTAGCATGCAATGTCAATGAAAACATCAGAAACATTTTACAGCATTTTAAACAACTCAATATCACAATTTTTACTATGTCCGCAATCTTGCATACCCTATTTTCATAATAAATACACTACTTTCAAAAATGCTTTTTGTTGTTGTTCATGATGATTGCACAAAAAGTTATTTTAAAAACTGTGTTTGATTTTCTTCACATAGGGCACTGAATACCAGTACTCATCCAATTGTGTGTGTGTGTGTGTGTTAAAGGTCAGAGTGCAGATGGTGAGATAAATGTGTTGAAGACTTTTTCTTCTCCATTAGTAGGCTCTAATTGACTTCTGGTGTGGTAGTCAGACTGCTGATCTTCTGAGAAGCAGGACATCACAGATAGCCGCACTTGACCACACTCCGTTTCAGTGCATTACATTAAATCCACAGCAGGCTAGTTTAGTTTGTGACATCATGAAGCCATTTACTTGAACAGAGCTTTACACACAAAGGTACTTCCAAGTACTTCAACAGGTCTACAACATCTTTAATTTTTTTATTTATGTTCCTGGCTTAGTATGAAAGCACAATTGTAGACAAGAAAAGTTTGCATGTGTATTTAGTGTGTGAGTGTGTGTGTGTGTGTGTGTGTGTGTGTGTGTGTATGCCAATGTCTGACGTGATGAATGGCTCCTCTGGCTGATAATGCAGATGGCAAATGAACACAAATGCTGAAAGATACACCACCACACAGAAAGGCTGTAACAAAGAGCAACCTGCACTGAAATTCTTCATCATTTCATACAAATGTAAAGCTTTCATAAATAAAGGATTTCTGTGACGGGGAGACAACCCATAATGTAGTATTTCTGTCTACTTCCTCTCTTTCTCACTATACTTCAGTGTCTCTAAATGGAGGCTCTTGTTTCAGAGTGATAAATACCTCAGCTTAGTGCCAGAACAGTCTAAAAGCACCACTGCCAGACAACAAAGTGCCTCTTTCGAGAGAGAGAAGCGAAGAGTGCAAGAGTGCAGATGGCGAGATAAATGTGTTGAAGACTTTTTCTTCAGTGAGTGTGAGTGTGTGAGTGTGTGTGTGTGTGTGTGTGTGTGTGTGTGTGTGTGTGTGTATGCCAATGTCTGACGTGATGAATGGCTCCTCTGGCTGATAATGCAGATGGCAAATGAACACAAATGCTGAAAGATACACCACCACACAGAAAGGCTGTAACAAAGCGCAACCTGCACTGAAATTCTTCATCATTTCATACAAATGTAAAGCTTTCATAAATAAAGGATTTCTGTGACGGGGAGACAACCCATAATGTAGTATTTCTGTCTACTTCCTCTCTTTCTCACTATACTTCAGTGTCTCTAAATGGAGGCTCTTGTTTCAGAGTGATAAATACCTCAGCTTAGTGCCAGAACAGTCTAAAAGCACCACTGCCAGACAACAAAGTGCCTCTTTCGAGAGAGAGAAGCGATAGCAGAAAACCAAAATAATTAATTCTGCAGTTTAACCCTGTTTCATACAGCTAAGTTATTGACGACTGAACTATACTGAGCTTGAACACGTCTTTCAAGATTAGTTGCAGGAAGAAACCAATTAGCCACACAGCACAATGCCAATAGCTGCATGATTTAGCAGACACAGTGTGAATGCTGATAGCCCGCTATGTGAAAGACAAGAGTACGTGTAATCTGTCTATATTAGACCATCAGCGTTCCAGAGAGGTTGAGGTCCTCAGGAGGGCATTGTGGAAATGGAGAGGATATACTGATGAAATAGAAACCAGAGGAAATGAATCAGGGAATTGTTAATGCTGTTGTCGACAGGAGAGGATGACAGTAACACAGAAAAAATATACAGACAATTGTAAGTAAGCACAATGGAGGAAAACCATGTATACAGTCCGAGCAAAAATTTAATATAGCAACCAGTTTGTGCCAAAATACTAGTTGCTACACAGGTTTTGATACTTACTTTTTGTCCCCCAAGGAGCACATGTGCTCCTAAGTTGAAAAATTTAAGAGCATATTAAAAAACTTTTGGGCCGCAATGAAAATGATCAAATAATGTGTTTTTCCTTAATAAAGGCATGCAAGGAGACATATAAAAAAATAATAATGTATTTAACAATTTATTATTTGTAAGGTATATAAAAACATGATTATTTTGCCAATACTAAAATCTATATATTGAATAACATGTGTTAAATGTTTCTAATCTTTCCCTCCTGTGATGGGGCAGCCCAGAAAAAAAGCTACAAGAGTTGCTAAATACAGTATTCTATGTAACCAAAATAATAACCTTGGGGGGAAAAAAGGTTTGTGGAAGGTTTGTGCAACTAAAAATGTATTAAGACATTCATAGACTTGCATAAATGATATGCTTGTTTATTAGATAGAACTGTAACACAAAGACTATAAACTATCAAAGATGGAGACATTTACTGGCCAAACAGAAAAACTTATCAGCCGATATATCGGCCTTGGCTATGTTGACCACTAGATTTTATGGTAGTAACAATAAAATGCAACAAGAATCACATATCGGCTACTAAGTAAAGTAAAAAATAAGGAAGCATGGATAGCATGTAAGGAAGGATACCATGGTATTATTTAAAGTAATGCATGCAATGCACAATTATCGTAATCATTAGGAAGCATATCACAATTCCATGATATCACCATCTGATATCATCAGTGTACTATGAAACTCTCACAGTATTAATACGTTCATTATCTTTATTAATGATGAACATTCAATGACCAGAGTATAACAGATTAAGGTTGGTTGCCTGGTCAGGCTGGTCTGATTTGATGGTTTTAAGAAGGGTTTGGGGCACTTGTCAGCTGGTAAGGTTGGTATGTTGGTATGGAAATCTTAATTTCTTCATTTTTATTTCCCTTGGAAAACCGCAGGGAGACCTTAAAGCTTCTCTCTTGTTGACAACATCTGGTCAACAGTCGGCTGAAAGTACTATGAACATTTAAATTTAGACAGAGCATAGATAAAAAGTGAAATAAAAATGAAAATAATACATTTGCCACTTTTTTCAGCACAAGGTTGAGCAGCTGTGTAGAGCTGGAGCAGTGAGCCTCCACTCACACAGACATGACTTCCCTTCCACAGCGCTCGCCAGCATTCACACAGTGATTTAGGAATGTGTGTGTTTCTGTTTGCGTGCGTGTGAGGGGTGAAAAGGAGACGCGCTGTAGCTACTGCAACTCCTACACTCAAAATTTATGGCTCTATCTCCACGTTTCTGCCAGGAAGAGAGAGCAGTATAGATTACAAAAGCCCCTCTCACTCACACATCCACCAGACACACAATTTTCACACATTTCACACATCTCTGTCCTCTGAACGCATCCGCCTCCAACACCAACGCAGAGAACTCTACAACCTTTGTAGAAGCACACACACTTTAAGCTCTTTAACACCTTTCACAGAGGCTGATTCGCTCTAAAGAGATCTCGTATGCTGTAAATCCTTAAATCTGTCCTTACATTGGGCTTCAGCACTGACCAAAACAATCTGTGTTTTGACAGTTCAACTCATGACTTCACTGGTGCACTCGGAGAACAAACAAGGATGTTGTACAGATCTCTTTCCATCCAAGAAAAGAGACACTTTTAAATCCATTCAGTCTTGGGTGTCCATTCGTTCTGGCTTTAAGATATGTTTACATGGAGGACTCACCAGGTTCTTGAGGAGGGTGGAGAGCTCTTTAGTCAGAGTGGAGAACTTAATGAAGGCCGTGCCCAGATCTGGATTATCCCGACTGATGAAGTTACTGCCAAACTTATCCAAAGCCTGGGCGTAGGTCTCTTCATTTTGAATATGATCTGACAAAAGATCACAAATGAACAAAATCCAAACAAATCAACATCATGCATTTGAGGAGTACACATCCATGATCAAGACTATGGTAGCATGTTGCCTAGTTCCTTGAAGACAGCATGAAATCATTCACTTCCTAGGTAAATTTCCCTGGTATTAATGTACATCATTCATCAGTGCAAATAATTTTGTACTCGAGGAATGTTGGCTTATATCAAATTGCAACCTCAAACTTTCTGCACCTTTGTAACCACGATCAGGTTGATTTTCCATAATGGGAGTCATTCTATTAAACGCTCTACGCATTTTCCATTTTTATTAGAATTTTAGAGATTAATCAGACAAATAATGTATTTATCTCTTGATAAATCCCATTGTGCTATAACAATCTAAATTAGGGATGCACTGATATGAAAATTTTGGCCGATACCGATAACCGATTATTCT